TTATGACGTCAAAACTTTTGTTATCATAGCCAAAAGTATTTTCAAACAATCTCGTCTATCAATTATGTCAATATAAGATCAAAGTTGTCTTTGTTACGAAAATCATAACTAAATCCTCGATGGTCACGTATATCAACACAATCAAATGATAAAGATTAAGTGTAGATGTGTAGCATAGAAAGTACAATCAATGTGATCCAAACATGCCTATTTTGAACTGGTCCTACCCTATTCTTTAATGAGATCAACCATAAATTTTAATCAGAGTGGAACTGAACCGAATACTTTATTTCTAAAATAAATCGAATATCCATGGATAGAATTATGTGTCTAAAACTGACAACATACGAATACAAACTCTCATTAAACTAACATATCATCAAAAAAAATGCAACACCAATGCGAGCAGTATACTCATGAAAGACCTTTGGTGATAGCCCCTTAGTAAACAAATCTTTAACTATAGAGTTTGTCCTAATTATTCCATAGAAACTTGAATACTCTGAATTCTTTCATTGACAACAAGGAACTTAATGTCTATAAATTTTGACATCGTCAAGTTCATGTTGGAATATAAGATTGCCATTGTCATAGAATAACTAAAGTGAATTTTCAAATCCATCTAAAATGTACAATCTAGAAACAAAATTTTGTAGTCATATTCCATGATCACAATCAGAATATCCAATGATCTTCAATTGATCTGATTTTTCCGAATGTGATCGTATCATTCTTAATTATCTATAAATACCGAATAACCTAGTTGACTGCTTTCCAAATATTTATCATATAGTTATTTCAAATAACTATCTAGCATTCAAATAATGAAAGTCATATCCAGACGTATACAAACCTTAGCATACATTAAACTCCCAACTGTTGAAGCATAGGGAATTTTTTGTATTTTCCTTTCTTTAAGTTTTTTCTTGAGGCATTAATTGAGACTAAACTTGTCTTCCTTATTAATAAGGGTATTACCTAGTTTACATACTTGTATCCCAAATTTTTTAAGAACTTTATCGATATAACTATTTTGTGATAATACAAAAATATCACAAGAACGATCCTGATGTATTTGTATCCCTCACATAAAAGAAGCATCACCAAATTCTTTGATTTCAAAATTTTATGGGAGTTTTAAAATTTGTAACCCTTAACAGTTGCTTTAATTGGAACTTTGTGGAGAATTTAAGCTGCAGTCTTTAGTGCTTCAACCTAGAGATATTCTAGTATAGTATAAGATGATTCCACATTTCTCTAGGAATTTAGAAAAAGGCTCTGAATATTGTTTTCCTAATCCGTCATATTTGTCATAGTATTTACCACTACGGTAAGATTTGAATTGTTTAATTCTTTTACTGAGTTGATTTTCAATCTGAGCTTCCTATACCTTGATAATGTCTAGTGTTTGAAATTTTTCATAGATGATATATATGTATCCATAGTGAGAAAAAATCGCATTTGAACATAATAAATTATTGTTAACTATTTCAAGAAGTCAAAGGAAACAGCCTACAGATATCCATTTGAATTAGTTCTAAGATGTCTGAAGTTCTATCTTTTTATAGTTGTTTGTTTTCCCTTAATATAATTAACATAAACACTTGAGCCTTAAAAATTCAAGAAATCAAGAATTCCTTCTAACATAAGATTTTACATTCTCTTTTGAGAGATGTGACTTAATTGCTTGTGTCATAACGAAACAAAATTCTCATTGGTTAATTTATGTTTAATACCACGTAAATTTACATGCAATGCTTTCTTTATAAGAGACTATGGATGTAAATTTGGCTCTTCAGCTTGGGCGGCCCGTTGCTTGACCATGAAAAAGTCTGAGCAGGCTCGGCTGTGGCTCGAAGGCACTGAGCTGTGCCTAACGAGCCACACGGGCAATTTCGGCCCAAGTCGGCTTGATAAATTAAAAATAAATAAATGGCAACAATTAAAAAATATATACACACACACACACACACACACACACACACACACACACACATTTAAAACTTCTTAAGGCAATAGATTTGTTGCCAGTTAAGGCGGCTTTAGCTATCTGTTACAAGCAGCAGATTTGTTGCCGGTTAAGGTAGCAAAATTGAAGGCAACTTCGTAGCTACTGATAGCTATCTAGAAGTTATAAAAAAAAATTACTTGGCTCATCTCGGTTCAGTAAGTCTGACCCGAAAGCTCAGGTTAAGCCTAGATTTTTTGGTTGAGCAAAAGCTCGGCTTGACTTGGGCCCGAAAAAAGCTCGTACCATGTTACTCAAGGCAAGCTCGAACCTCAAGTTTCAGCTCACGAGTCGGCTCTTTGACGCGCCTATAAGAGACAATTGTATTAAGCATATATAGATTATCATAATAAGATAAAGAATTGGTATCCACAATATTTGAATTAAAAAAAAAAAACTAAATTGACTATTTCCAATTGAACAGAAGTAACCGAATTCATTCAATGTAGAAATAGAAATCAAATTTCGTCCAAAAAGACGATATTGCAAATGTCTCTTTCAAATCCAAATAATAACCCATTTTTAATAATAACCTAAAAGTCCTTATAGCCTCTACCTTAACGAATTCGCCATTGCCCCACATATATGAATATTTCAGCATCAATTGACTTTAGGCTGTTTAAGCAACCCTGCATAGATACATTTATATGAATAGTGACACATAAATTTATCCATAAAATGTGTCTAATTATTGAAATTAAATTAATCTCAAAATAAACCAAAGTAAGAAGTGTACATTTCTTCACATGCCAAGCGTGGTATTTAGTACAGTCTCTCTTTGTATATTCCAAATTTTCACAAAAGAAATAATAAGATGATTAATCCTTTTCAGGCTTTTGCTATATCTTTTTAACTAAACTAGATCCAACTTTTTTATTCTTCAAATTGTGTTTAGAGGTACTTGTCAAGTGAATATATCTAGTTCTCTCTTACTTTAGACTGTCTTCTTCTTGCACGTATTATGGAGCTCATTAAGAGTCCACTTTCCCTTTTGACAACTGTAACTGACCTTAAATTAATCAAATTGTGAAGAAAAAATCAAAACCACATGCACGAGCAAGTCATCAAACAACTCAAACTTAAATGTCTTTGATTTTGAAGTAGGATGAGATACATCCACGATATACTCCCATATATTTTCTTTAACATTATACTTTAGTGAAACCAAATTTGTCAGAAGCATGCTAGTTTTGATCGTACCGCTTTTTTCGTAAAGCATTTTGGAATATTTCTTTAAGAAATTTCTTGGTAGTTACCTTATCGAACATAGTGTCCTTGAATGTTGTTGGAATTTCAAGCTTCATAATCATAAGATTTATGCAGTTTGAACGATCCCAATTATTCAAATCCAGTTTTATTAGTGGAACTCTTATTCGTAAGAGTAGTGGATTGCATAATCCTTAACGCAAGGTCTAGATCCATGCCGTCAAAAACAATAGAAACATTCTCTTTTCAACTCTTAAGCTTTGGTTCAAGCACTGGAATTGAATTGATATTAACAGATATTGTAGAAGCAGATGGATTAACCGAATAGAGAACCAAAACTTAAATAACATGTTCACGTGAAAAACCGTATTAAGGCTATCTTTGGACCGGCACAATGTTCATTATCACAGGTGTGTAGATGATTAAGGCTATCTTTGGACCGACACAATGTTCACATAATGGAAAACTTTACGATTGTCACATATTCATTATCATAGGTGTGCAAATGATTCGGCCAAACATTGACATTCCTTTAAACAAGTGAATATCTGCATGAATTATGTACGTACAACCTTCCTAATATTTCAAATAAATTAATTTAGGCAAGAGAAGTTACTTTGGCAACATATTATTTTAACTAATCTATTTTAGAAAATTAGTAATCCGAAATAAATATTAAGCACCAAAATTTAAAATTGATTGTCCCTTTATATTTTATTTTTCTCTTTTGTGGCCAAAACAAAATAATAATACACACACACACACACATGCACGCATGACCAGAAAATCGGCGCTACTTGGGCACTGCGCCAAGGCAGCACTAGGTCGGCGAGACCAACGCTGGTCACGTTGCTTTACAACAGCCACCGGACTTCGTAGCTCCGTAACTGCTGTTTTGAACCAGAATATTCGAAAAATCTCGAAAATCTTATTTTGAATTTTAGGGTTAAAATTCATATCCTAGATTGGAAAATTCAAATTATGACTTTCAACCCTAAAAATTCATTCTTGAAAAAATTCTGAATTTTGAAATTTATGGCGAAACTTCATATTCCAAAACTCAATATATGAATTTCAACCACAAATTTTTTATTTTTTTTCATCCCAATGCTTTAACATGTATTCGGCTCCGATACCACCTGTAATTTTTTATAAAATTTTAAACTTTATAAAACTATATGAACTTTAGAACTTAAAAATCTAAATTTTTTTATTATCAAAATCCTCCATGTCAAATCACCAAGAAAATTAATAATATAGAATATACCTTAATTTTTTGGAATGATTCTTTATTATTGGATATTGAATCTTGAAATTTGAACTCCAATCTTTTCATTTTTGGCTTCCTCACTTTTAATCTTGAATTTTGCCTTCTTTGATTCTTTAATTCATTTTTTTTTTTAGTTTTGCTTCTTCATCTATAATCTTGATTCTTGAATTCCTTCTTGATTTTTGATTGTGAATATTGGATCTTCATCTTCAATATGATTTCTCTTGTATTTTTGCGTTGATAGAATGACACAAAGAATAAGAAATTGATATGATTTGGAAACCATAATCCTATATATAATTTCTATATGTATTTCGCCCATCATAAAATACAATTATAAAGAAATCTGATATCTATACATATTATTCGACCCACACTTTATTTAGATACCCCAAGCCTAACAGTTTAATTATTTATTAGATAACTTTAATTTTGAGCTTAACTTCAAGATATCATTATACACAATTATTTACATATGTAGGGCACATGACAAACTAAAATTTTCCAAACAATAGATGCTGCACAAATAAATCAACAGCGGATGATTCATTGTTGAAGTCCAAATCTACAATTACAATATTTCATTACATTACAAATCATACTTTGTCATTTCATGAACATGACCGTGTGAAGTAAAGCATAGATTCAACACAAAAAAGTTTTACACCTCATGCAATTGCATTTTCTGAATAAAACCCAGCATTTTCTCAAGGTCTTCCCCAACTGCAGCAACAAAACAAAGTCATACAATTTGAGGCAAACATCTCAATCTACCACTTTTAACACTTTTTTTTTTAAAGAAAAATAATTTTTTGAGTAAGGTGTGGTTAAAAATAGCAAAAACATATGTGGATTCCATAAAATTTGTGATTGCATATGATTGTTTGGGGAAAAATTAATTTCAAAATAATCAATGACAAACAAGCTTCAAATTTTGTTTAATATCAAAAATAAAAATAAAAATAAAAATAAAAATAAATTATATTTCATTACGTCTTGTTTGGTAGAGAGGACTGACTAATGATAGATAATATTAAAAGGGAAAATAAAGGTAAATTCTATTCTTCATTGTCTAACTTGATCTAATATTACATAACAAACGTATATTTAAGTTTTTCACTAACCTAAATCACCAAAAAAATAAGTAACCATACTCACCCAATCTTGGTACTGTGTGTCCCTTGGGATGGTTAATCACAACAGGATCCACAAAAGAGTTCAGTAAAGCTTCGCCCTCTTCCCTCAAGAAGTCAAACTCACCTGGAAAATATACATAATATATATAAAATTTGAGATAATTTTATGTAAACGCTTTTAAATATAGCAATATACTCAACCTAATTTAACCTCTTTTACTTAGTAGCATGTTTGGAATCATGGACTAGACAGGCTATTAAAAGTAAAAAATCTCATTCAATTTTGTATTTTCAAGTTTTGTCTAGTACTGCAAATCAAACCTGCCTGAAGCAGTAAGTATGCAACATACTCGAACACAAAACCGACAAGCAAAGACGTAAAATGAAGAGAATTGACAATACCTATAATGTGCAGTGATGGGCACTTGACTAGAGATGAAAATGCATTGGTGGCAAGTTTGGGCAACCCAAACATGGACCCTCCAAATTTGCTTCCTGATATTAAAATGAGAAACTTAATATCTGGGACTTTGGTAAGTGCTACACCTTCCCTTTGCATTCCGGGCAAGGCTGCTGATAAAAGTGCCCCCTATCAAACGGATACACAAACTAATGAGTCCCAAATATTGTAACAATTTATGAATCTCCCGTTCTTTTTGCTGAATTGAATTGAAAAGATTCATATAGTCGACTCTAAATTTATCGAGAAACCGCGTAAATAATGAAAGTTAATGAATCTCTTTCTCCCTCTCCGTTTTTTGGAAGTGACAAAAAGATTCATTTAACCTACTTCAAATTTATAAGCAAAGCAGACATACCTGAGAAAAACCCAGAACACCATCAAATGGTCCATGCTTTAGCATATGGTCTTCCAGGAAATCAAGGCATTCTTCAAAATTGTAGTATTCTTTGAAATCCTATAAACATATGTACTTCAATACAATAATTGGCATCATTTAATGAATTTAAAAGTAAATTGGCAGAAAATTCTCTCAATGTTCTAACTCAAGTAGAAATATCCATAAAGCTTGAACTGCTTTCTAATTGGACCTCTGGTATCTTATAGCCAAGCGTATTTATCTAACTGCTAAGTGAGAACCTACTCTTACCGTATCATAAAATTAACTTTTTTGAGTGATATAGATACAAACGTATCTATAATTAACTTGTTTACCTATCATATAAAGAAACTTTTGAAGCTAAAATACATGTTTTGCCAATTTTCTCCATTTCACAAATTTATAATTGGTTTATAAATAAGAATAGTAACGAGTCTCATAAAATGTGCGGATAATAATGAGTAATAGTTATGAATATATGGTCAAAATTAATATTTAACTTCATTTGAATTTATAAATCACTTATAAATTTGTATCCAAAAAGAATTTGCTGAACATATATTAGACATTTTTTAACCAGAAATCTTTATTTATCTGTTGTCAGTTATATAATCATAACCAATCCTTCATTAAGATCTCTTTATTATCAAATATAAAAATATCACACCAATCAAATAACTTCTCCACTTATTTTTTGACTCTCTAAAATATTACTTAAATAATTATGTATAAGAAGCATTTTCCAAAATATGAACATACAACAAGAGAGTTCTCTGCCTCCTTATGCAGTTATTGATCAAGAAACATGAACAACTATGGGTGTTAAATGGGAGTGGCTTGACTTGCCTCAAGAAAATTGAGCTCGACTTGCCTTGCCTATAATCGGGCTGTCCCGCCTCAAGACCTTCGCGAGCCTAGGGCGAGCTGACTCCCACGCAAGCCGATAAACGGCTTGCACAAGCCTCGGCTTGCGACCGAAGCTTGCTTGGGGCGGTAGTGGGACAACTTCGAACTCAATATTGGCGATGCCCATTTAAACGCATTACAGTAGTCATAATAAAAAAGAGGAAGAAAATAACAATTAGTGTTACCTTATCGGCCTGGAACCACTCAAAGAATGGAGGATCATAAATCCCTTCAACATCAGACTTCCCCTGAGCAGGAAAAGGTGCATCTAGAAACATAAGATCCAACTTCTCAAGAACAGATTCGGGCCATCGAGAAATCAATTTCTTCAGGATTTCACCACTCGTTCTGAATCCATGGAGGCAAAGAATTCTCAGTTTTCTTTGGATTTCATTTTTAATGATACCATTTTCCTGTTTTCCCTCATCCTCCATTGGTGGAATCGGATTACGTTTGCTGGGAAAATAAGTTGATGCTTTTAAATAGGGAAAAAGTGGGGGAACTCAGTAGGGTACAGGGTGCGTGGGCAGTTGGGCATTGATTTTAATTCAAGATGAGAAGATAGCAGTTAGCGGCCGAAATTTATGGCAATTAACCTCGCTATATCTCAACCGTGATACTCGTAAACCGGGGTTGACACCTAGTGTACCGATCTCCTCATAATAGGAGGGTTCATGATTTTTTTTATTCGTCCTAAACCCCCCTTGTTGTGAGGGGTCGATACAATCTCGATGTACAAATATCAAAATTCTTGCTATATTGAGGGGGGAAATCTTGTACATATTACATATGGGTATTGATAACAATGCATTCACATTATTTATAGAATGAGAATGAAAAATAGAGTCGTTACGGACCCTATACAAGAGATAGAAATTCAAAAATGGTGGATTGATATGACGAATAACAGTCATATTTTTCATTTTAATAAGATAAAAATGGAGCTCAAATAGGGCCTCATACACAATTTTAACTTATTTTTTGCGATATTATACAAGATTTTATTTTAATTCATATAATCAATTTAAAATTTTAATGAAAAATACTAACTGCCCAAGGCCAAATCCACTTGGTGCCTTCCTATTGGAGGGGCGGGGGGGG